CGGTTAAAAAGAAGGGCATTTAAAAGCCAGCATCCTGAAGTTTCTGCAACATCTTTGGAGTATGTCGATAGCATGCACGATAATAAGCATCGCTACCCCACTAATATATTCCAATTGAAAAAAAAGCATTTTTGGAATTTCGGCTAGCACACAAGCAGATTGGTCGTTGACTGTAGTGTAGCCCTCACGCAAATGCATAAGCAATCATCCAAATGAATGTGGAAAGGACAATTACTGCATTATTTTGCCACGGTCCATAAGCAATATGAACATACTTAGTACGTATTAGTTGCGGACAGGCAGGGGTGACAGAGGTAGGGAAGAGAGTCCACTCGAATGTCCATGCAACATACCTCGAGGTATTTGAGACGTTTAAACGGTGACATGTCGAAATTGAGAGAATTGATGGTGACGTTGCTCTTGTGCAGCTTTTCGATGGATCCGATGAGCTGAGAACCGGGCAGAGAGTGAGGACAGAATGGCGGAAGGCGGAAAAGACAGAATGGACGAATGAGGACACATTGAAATTCATTCGCAAGGCAATATTACTACCGTACGAAAGACGCTCAACGACTAAGTTGAGGGGCATTTCCGTCCCTTTAGCTTTGGAGCTCGCAGGTGGTCGCATATGGATCGGTGAGAATGCAGGAAGACATGTGCGCAAACAAGAGGGAGACTAGAAAGATAATGTCTGGCTTATTAGCAGCTGTTGTCAACCAATCATATCCAACCTTAGGTTTCCATAAGGTGAGATTCGAACCTGAGTCGTTGGGCTTTGAACGGTGAGTTTAACGTTCTCCCGTCGAGACAGGGACCAGTTATTTCGTCAGATGAAACCAATGGTATACATTATATTCGTAAGGGCGAATACGACACGAGCTGGTGCCCAGCTAGTAGACTTCCTGTGTGACGTGAAAAGACCGCCAAACATGGAAGCAGACAAAGTGAAAGGTCGAAAACTAAGCGGGCTAGGAAAATGAACAGTCAAGTCTAATTGAAATGAAGCACTTACCCTTAATTTTTCCAGGTTTTCGAGGAAGTCCAAGACAGTTCCAAAGTCCTCGCTGGGGTCATTAAACACTAAATGAGGGAGTGTGTGTGTGTGTGTAAAGGTCAGTATAATAGGGGGAAGGGCTGTAACTTTCATTTTCAAAAAGCCGGAGGAAAATGTGTGAAGTCTTTGATGGCTTCAGCAAGACTAGGATATTTGTGCAGAAGTCCCGGAGCATTGGCTACCTGGAGTGCTGACTACACGGCCTGCCTCCCCAAAATAAAGTTATCCCCACCTCTACTTCGCTCGATGCAGATATAGTGGATAGCACAGGTGCTGCAGACAGAGTTGGAGCCCTGATTGATTGATTGATTGATTGATTGATTGATTGCCCGACGCTGTGAAGTACCACAGACAGTCATTAACGGCATGTGCCAACACATGTGGAAACTGAACTTAACCCTCCTCCAGGCGTCCGCCTTAAAACGAGTCTGTTAGTAGAACCCCGGTTGATAGAATCTGGAATATAATTCAAGGTGCTTTAAACACTAAGTACAACCGATTTGCGATTAAATGTTCGCGCCGACCTTATCAGTCTTGGTCTTACCCGATGACCGCCCAAAAGAACATTTCTGGCTTTAATGCGAAAGCGCCTGCTTCAAACACGAAAGCCGCAAGCAGCTGACGACTGCCTACCGTTAAAGGGAGAGGGGTCAAAAAGATCTCGATAAAGACAGCTGAAGGGCTGCTTGGACGCGATACGATGTTTGCAAAGCAAGCATTGGCCAGTTTGCTTGGCATGCTCATAGTTAAAATGACAGTTACCACCAGTCCAATAGACAGATGAAGCACATGCGAGCGAACCCTACTTAGAGTGCAGTAAATGTAAATAGCACAAAGAAGAGCCAGTTGACAATCAACGTAAAAAGAGAAGGATCACGTACAGATGGGGGCCACCGGGGAGATGATGCGACGATTGACAGCACTGAGTTGATAGACCTGCATTGAATACAGCAGATTGCGAGATAGAATAGCATCGCCTGAAGAGAGTTTGTGAACAAAAGGTTAGGAACTTGTGCATGAAGGAGGGCCTTGAGCGTGGTTAGCAGGGCGGGCAAAAGTAGTTTAAGTAGTGCTCCTTATATACCTATAGTTCCAGCATTTTCTCCTACAGAAACAGTGGTTACAGGGGTTTTTGGTGTGGGGAAATAGGATAAGCAGTGAAAGAAATTTGTAGAAGTGGAAAAATGTAGTTGAATCTGTTTCCCCCGGCTGCTGGAAGTAAGTTGTTCCGCAGGTAATTTGAAGATTTGCGCGGCGCCTCGCGCCGCGGACTATACTAATCCAAGTCCAGAACGGTAAGTTAGACCTCAGGTAAGTTAGAAGACCTCCTAACCACCGTTTATATTTTTCAGAAATTTTAAGATAATTTAATTTGATAATCGGATTAGGAAAATCTACGGCTATAAATCAACTACCATAAAATAAAGCGCATATAGCAGTTATTTTAACACATTCCCCTGCCCATCTTAATTCGCCGCTCATAAAACCCCTATAACCACTGTTCCCTTAGGTTAAAGTGGTTGGAGTAGCGGTATATGAGGTGCACTACTTAAACTACTGGCGCCGCAGAGGGAGATAAGCATTCGCATGAAATACGTGGATAGACAGTTTAAAGAAGACGTTTTACCCTCTAAATTACTTCACCTTACCTTCTTTTGATAGTTGGCGTGCCAGGGAATTGGTGATGCCATGGATGTCCTGCAATAAATTACATCATAGAAACTGCCTGATGAGTGAGTATAAGAAGCGAAACGCAATCGATAAGACGGAGCAGGAGGGTAAATCGGGTTTACCAATAATTATTACTATTTTTATGAGGATTGAAGGTAACAAAGAAGGCGGAGGAGGACAGCAGATTTATCAGAGCGATTTGTACACACTTACCACTCATGCATCAAGCAGCCAATTAGTCATGCTGCATTATGCTGTGGATGAGAAAGAGTTGTCATATGACGGGCCGCGCGCTCTACAACTGCGAGCCGACGCGTCTCGCAAGATTGCATCTACCTACTGAATAAACGGCTTACCCTTTCTTCTTTTTTCAATGGACGAAAAGGAGCACCTTGCTCTTTCCTACTTCTTACGGCCGGAACGCTAAATCTAAGCTAGCGCGTCCAGCTGGTATTAATAAAGCGAAGGGAATATAGATAAAAAGCTCCCAACACGCAGCCTTTGGGGCTGAGCGGTCACACAGACGTGCGTGTGTGTGTGTGTGTGTG